CACCAAATGACCCTTTTTTGGAGAGTAGACACCACAAGGAATTTGATAAGAGGCATGGTGAGTATTTTACAGATATCATTTTTGTCACAGGGTTTTGAAAAAGAAAAGAAAAAAATACATTTTTGTTTTCTCTCTTCGTTTTCCAAAAACATGTGGTAACAAATGAGATCTGCAAAATACTCACCATGCCTCTTAGCAAATACCTTGGAGTGTCTACTTTCCAAAAAGGAGTGATTTGGAGGGGTTGCTTCTACTATCCTGGCATTTCAGGGCCAACATTAGAAGCTTACAGTATGCCACACATCACCCATTCTTGAAGACCAAGCCTTTTCTGACATTTTTTGTTCACATGAAAAAACTTTTTTACTTTGAACCCCCAAATTACTTTGAACCTACTTTGAATTACTTTGAACCCCCCAAAATTATATATTTTTTTAAAGCAGAGGCCCTAGTGGGTGTTGAAATGTTTTCCGTCTCACAGTATTTGCTCAGTGATTTTTCAAATGCAAATCTTTTGGGCAAAATACACTTTTTAGAATTTTAATGCACAAAAACACAACACATTGCCCAATTGCTTGATAACTTATAAAAGATGATGTTATGCTGAGCAAATAGATACTAAACATGTAATGCTTTAAAATTGCGTATGCCCGTGCAATGGCAACAAAGTACATACATTTTTATTATAGATAGGCGACACTTTAAAAGCATTCACATGTCACCAATTTACATTTAAACAGGAGGTCTAGTGCTAGAATTAATGCCCTTGATCTTACATTCATGCCGATACCTCACATGCATGGTGCAATCGCTGTTTACATACCGGCACGGGGTCAACGCTTGTGCACACAGGTACGTGTGCACAGGAGGGCAAGAGTACTTTTTTTTTAGACATTTTGATTTTTTTTATTATTTTTACACCGTCCTTTTCTTTTTTTTTGTATCACTTTTATTGCTATCACAGGGAATGTAAATATGCCCTCTGACTGCAATAGGCATTGACAGGTATTCTTTTTTGGGAAATCTGGGGTCTATCAGACTCTAGATATCTCCTCTGCCTTTACATCACCTGATCTCACCAAGATCAGTGTGATCAGATGCTTTCCCAATTTACAAATGGCGCTGTTTATATCCTGCAAAACTGAAGTGATGAAATGCTTGTAGCTTCCGATTTCTTAGACTATAGAGATGATTTAAGCCATTCTGGTCTCTTATCACTTCTATGGTCAGCCAGCGGTTCTGCTGGCTGCATTTTTGGATTCCCCTGTGGGACAGGAGAGCCCAAGAAAACTGAGCAAGGCAGCAGGCAGGGGGGGGGGGGAGATGTCCCTTCCCACTGCTCGTAAAAACAATTCAGCAGCTAATTGGCCACTAGGATTGCTTTTACATGAAAATCAACCGCCAGCTGAAAAAAACGATACCAGGATGATGCCTGTAGCTGCAAGCATTATCCCGGTATAACCACTCAAATTTTTTTTTTTAATTCTCAATATTTTTTTTTTTTTTCATTTTTAAAATATTTTTTTTTAAATACTTTTATCAGAATAGTACAATGTTACATAATTTCTCCTGCAATGCAAAGCTTGCTGTCATGAACCTAACTTATTCATGAACTGTCAGGTTATACACAGCTCAAGATAGTGATCTGTGATTGGCTGGAGCTGATTACATGGTACAGGGTGCTGTGATTGGCACCATGTATCATATGACATCTGTTGGCCAATCACAGCTCACTAGGAAGAGAAGCAGAGCCATTATGAATGAGATTGATTCATAACAGCTTTGCTTACATTGTGATCATGTGATCGCATAGCGATTCACCTGTTCACTGGGACCTTCATTCTGCTGTGTCTGCTGGACACAGCAGTTACGGGGGGGGGAATGCAGCACCCCCCCCCCTGTGTTAGTACAGCTAGAGCGACATACGGGTATGTCACTTTGCCTGTAGCTGACGCCTGACTGTAGTACATTGCGGACGGGCGGACGGGAAGCAGTTAAGAGGAGAAGCTGGCTGCTGTAGTTGTCAAAAAAGCAGCCTGACAATGTTTACAAACAACACTGCTCCAGACCATGATTATACAAAGTTACAAATTGTTACATTTGTTTCTTTTTGCTCATTCATCTGCAGATCAAAGGAATTAACTTAGATCTGCATTTGATGTCAGTTAAAGCAACCTGATAAGTGAAACACTATTAACCCCTATTAGCCCTTAGTTTACTCTAATCAGCCCTAATTAAATCGTGTTTCCTTCTCTCATCAACTATTATTTCCCTGCTGATTTTTTGTTTTTTTTTATTAACTAATGATACATTTCTACACATTTAACATATATTTACACATTTTCCATTTAAAAATGTGCAAAATTGAAAGAAAAAACACACTAGAATTAATTTGTAAATAACTCATAATGTACTCATAATGTACTCAAAAAGTGTTACTAAACCCAGGACCCTGCATTCACTATATCCAGCCTCCCACAGTATACAGAACATGGAAATGCAATTATTTTTTTAAATATAAACTGCCAAATACTTTTTTCCTCAGCAGTTAGAGCAGTCTTGTGACTTCCATCAGTGTCCAGCAGAGCACTTGTTAACGTTTGTAGGAGGAGGTTTCATTTTGCTCCAAGAGCATGCATAACCCCTGACCCTCTGTCTGGACAGTGCTGAAACTCTCTAGCAATACACACCAAAGTGAGCATGTGTAGAGTGGCTCCACATAATATGTCTTATCAGGAAATAAGAGGGGGGCACAGGAAGAAGGGGAGGATCAGAGAAGATAGTTAAACTAGCATTTTTACTCAGTGCAGAGGAGTAACCCCTTATATTCCACAGTGAGTATAACAAGCATGCTTTACTGCATATACAGACTGATTTTACTGTTGTGGGTTTAGCAACACTTTTTAAACAGGACAAATTACAGAATACAATGCACACATTTTATGTTCAGTAACACTATTTATTTTTAAACTAACACTGGTAAAAAAAGAGAAAGTGTGTTTTGTTTAGATTTGTTTTCATTTCTAATTGTCTAAAATCATTGTTGCAAGACAATATTCAAGAACAGAAAGCCTTGTTTGCCCTTAAAAAACAATATGTATATGTATTATCTTGTTATCTTAAATAATGGCAAAGGTATTGATGAATAAACAGGTTCAGAGCAGAATTGTAAAAATCACTCTGGTCCATAAGGGATGAACAGGTGTGAGATGCAAAGTGCTTAAAGAAAACCTTTACTGAGGAAATATGGAAGCTGTCATTATTAACCTCTCCTTCTGAAAAAAAACTAGCTATGACTTCACTGTGACTTTACATTTAAGAAACGGTTTAAACCACAGACAGCCAGAAAATCAGCAGTTTTAGAAGGTTGATACCTGAGAAACCCTCATTAATGAGATGGCACTGGGTAGTTACATAGTTAGTCTGGCTGAAAAAGACAAAAGTACATCAAGTTCAACCATTAAAAAAAAAAAGTTATAATCCTATACCCACAGTTAAAAAAAAAACCCTTAAATTTTTTTTGTTTTTAATTCTCAATATTATTATTTTTTTTAATTTAATGTTTAATGTAACTATATTCTACTGTTTCAACATTAATGTGGCAAACTGGTCAACTTTGCGGTCTTGAGCGCTGGAACCAGTACTTAATTCCCAAACCCCCCACACAGTATGTATAATACTTGCTGTACATGTGGCAGTAAAGAGCCTGAACACAGTTAGATGTCTTATTTAATGCAAATAGCTGTTTTGTTTTTTTTTCAATGAGGCAGTTTCTGGTTCTCCTATGCAATATTACATTTTTTGTTCTTTTTTAACGTATCAGATCACCGTCTAGTACTGGCAGACAGGTGAAATCACAAGATTTTTGTGTGATCGAGGGCAGCAGAATTTATAGTTTTTTGCTCCCCTTTTTTTATCCCCCCAGAAAATGTTTACTTTTTGCCAGTTTACCTCACATGCTGACAGGTGTGTGCGTTAGTCTCTTTCTAACCAAAAAGGCGACAATGTGTTACAACATTATTATTTTTTAAATTTGTCAGTGTTTTGGAGATTGCTATAGAAACCAATTTAAAAAAAATGGGAGCTGGAGAATCATATTTTAGGGGTTAAACGTAACACTAAATTCCCTTTGCATGATGAACAGGTCCGCTTTAATTGCTGCACCGCTGGATCTGTCTGCATTTTTGGAGTTATTATTATTTTTATTATACAGGATTTATATAGAGCCAACAGTTTGCTCAGAGCTTTACAATATAAAGTGAGACAATTACAGCAACAATACAGTTCAATACAAGAGGGTTAGGAGGTCCCTGCTCCTTGGAGCTTACAATCTAACAGTTTCTGTGCTTCTGTTTGTGCTAAAGTAAGGTGCATGCCATTACCTTCAGCTTTAACCAAAATTCTTTTCAAAACCTTGCCAGAATCTAAGAAGATCCAATGCTGATGGTTAAAACCTTTTGAAAGGCTAACTTTACATAGGATCGTGTACAGTACATTCAGTCCTCTCCCACCCATTTAGGGAACTGTCTAGTGATTTGTACTAAGCACTATCACATGGCAGGCAGATATAAATTAATTCCCATCCCGCAGGGAGTGGAGAATTTTTGATGGGCTTTGGTAGGGCTTAGAAGGGGTTACAGCAGGGCCAAGTTTGCCATTAAGCATGAGAGACTTATGTCGATGGGTGGCAGCTCTACACCTACAGCTGTTCCTTGACCTTGACGGGGACCCACCTTAATAAAATTGTCCTTTATAATCTAAGACCAAGATGTGTTTAGCACCAGATATTCATCAAAAGGATTAGTTACACTCCTTCCCCCTGCATCAAACACCCTCTGTCTACTTAAAATAATGAATTTACTCCATATAATATTTATTTTGGCACACTAAACAATTTGAAGTCAAAATTATCATAGGGAGAAAAAAAGGATAGCATGTAAAACAGCCTTGTATTTTGATATGGTTTTTTTTGTAATTCTGTTATGTTTCTCTTTATACAGATGGCTTATATGGGTTATCTTATGCTCTTCAATTATATTGTATTAGTAAAAATGGATCGCTGGCCCTCAATGCAGGAATGGATTGTTATTTCATACATCTTTACACTGGGAATAGAAAAAGTGAGAGAGGTAAAACATGGTGTCATTCCAAGCACACTTTATTTACAATTATGAGTTTTGTATCATTGCCAACATACACTATAATGTTATTATTACATTTAATATTATGTGTAGGTGTTATTTTCTATATACATCTACTTGAATGTTATGTTTATCTGTGACTTTATCATGGGGGCTTGACTGAGTGATGATTTTTTTTTTAAATATTCCAGCTCATGGCAAACTAATTTCTGTAAGAGTGTTTTTAAGCTGTCATTTTATAGCAACATGAAACTTCTGCCTGAAAAAACATACGTGGAAGTTTGCAAACTAGCCACTAGAGGTCTCTTAAATCTCATAAAAGGAGCTGCATTATTATTTCTGCTATGAACTAATACCGCCTTAGTGAGATACTGAAGGAGGGATGATCAACAAGCATGGCTAGAAAAGCTCATTTTGTTGCACAATACACTGAGGATTGAGTTATCTAGCTGTGCTTTATAAAGCTGATCAAATATCTAATATAGTTAAAATACTCTGGAGCATATTTATCAAGTAATGAAAGATCAGCTGCCGATCAAATGACTAATGGGTTATTTACATAATTATTAAGTGCATTTACCATCCATGCATAAATCTAGTTCAATCCAATGCAATTCAATTACATGCAATGTATTAGTAACAGAAAATGACAAATGACAGTCCCAGTCTGTATTTTGACAGTTGCTCTTTGAAGATGATAATTCATTGATTTTATCAATGATACCTGTTTAGGACTTCCTGCACTCACTCACTATCTTAGCTATAGAATGGTTGTCCTGAAAGTTCTTATTTGCATTTACAGGCATTCATTTTCTCCAAGCACAACAAATTCAGCAAATGCAGTCGGACAGGTTGAATACAGAGCCAATGCAACCTGGTTTAAAATATACCAATATGCCTGTTTCACATTATTTATAAAAGTGTTTGAAAAAAAAAAAAAAATAAGGAACCTCCCTCACATATTCCCAGTGATGGTTAGAAAGTGAAGACTATATGGCTTCAAGGTAAATTACTTTTTAAAAAAGACAAAGACAGACAAAAATAAGACATTATCTGCAAAGTGATATAGGAAAGCAACTAAAGATCACCCAACAAGTATCCTGAATACAGTAAACAGAAGTCCAATTGGCTGCTACCGGTTATTGGACTGAACCTTGCATGTGATAATAGCTATTTGAATGCCTTGCTTTAAAAAAAATACATATGTTCAAAGTGGTTCTAAAGGCTCAAGGTTTTTTACCTTCAGGTATTTTATGCATGAAGGTAAAACCTTTCTGTGTGCAGCAGCTTCCCCAGCCCCCCCCCAGTCCTTACCCGAGTCCCCTTTGATCCAGCGATGTTCTCAACAGCCTCTGCTGTCTGTGGACTCTTCCTCTTCATTGACTGAGACAGTCCATTGGCTGTCAATCACAGCCAGTGAGCCAATGAGGAGAGACTGGGGGGGGCAAGCTGTGGCTCTATGTGTCTTATGGATGTATACAACAGCAGCTCGGGGATGAGCATGCAGCGGTGCCCCAAGGAAAAACAGCTTTTGCTGGGGGCGCTGCCAAGAAGGAGGAGCCAGGAGAACCCGAAAAGAAGAGGATCGGGGCTGCTCTGTACAAAATCACTGCATACAGCAGGTATGTATAGACATGTTTCTTATTTTAGAAAAAAAAAGCTTTTATGTCACTTTTCCCCAGTTTAAATTTTTTCTATTTAACTTCATGTATATGAGCCTCCTAAATTGATTGTAAACATATTTTTTTTATAAATAATAAACATGTTATACCTGCCTGCTCTGTGCAATGGTTTTGCACAGAGCAGCCCAAATCCTCCCCTTCTGGGCTTCCCCTTAGGCACTCCTGGCTACTCCTTGTTGAGTGCCCCCATAGCAAGCTACCTGGTAATGGCTACTGCTGCTGGCTCCATGTCCAGTGAGGAAGGAGAGGAGAGAGACACCGCTCTTGGACACAGTGCTGGATCAAGATCAGACTCAGGTAAGTGTTTAGGGGAGTCAGGGGGGGGAGTGGTACACAGAAGGTTTTTTACCGTAATGCAGAGAATGCATTAAGGTAAAAAAAAACCTTCTCCTGTACAACTACTTTAAATAACAAGCCAAGATACTTGCAATGCCATTCCTTGTAAATCAACCATATATATTTAGAAGTACCCCTGTAGGAGCCAGCAGTTTGATAGATCCCTGAGGTATTTTCACATCGTTTTGTCCCACAGCCAGGCATACAAATACAGTCACTCTTTTGGTGCTCAGTAAACAGTTCAGGGGTTTTCTTTTTGTTTTGTTTTTTTGTTTTTTTGTTATTTTAGTTTTTGTGATAACTTGGATAGGGATTGGGGATGAATGGGATGCTCCAAAAAGAACTATGTACAATTGTATTTATTGTAAATATATAATATATCTATATAAACATATATTGTACATATATATTTATATTATATGATAAACGTCTTCTGCAGCACTTTAAGCACAGTCCTTGGAGGGGCAATGTTGGACTTGGCTTAGCTGAAGCAGATTAAGGCACTACCTTCTTCCTTAAGCAACTTGATCAGAATTCCTTTAACCAGGGGGCGGACTGACCATTGGGGAACTTGGGCACTTCCCGAGGGCCCGGGGTCAGTAGGGGGCACCATGAGATGTCCCTGGTACCTTTCATAGGCTTTTTTGGGTGTGGTTTGAGTGTGGGAGAGGACACAGGGGCCCCATGATCCCCTATTGCCCGGGGGCCCCATGAGTTGTCAGTCCGTCCCTGCCTTTAGCACAGAACCAGACAGACTAAGCTCTCCGGGGTACCAGCCAGTATTCTCTTTTCCAGCATTATCAGCTGACTTTCTAGCACCAAATGGGTAGCAGCAGCCCAGTCTCTAAGATCTCTCACACAGTCTGTACTCACAGAGCCCTCAGGAGAATGGATGCCTCCTTCGAATGTCTGCCAGTGGCCCCAGACCAGATCATACAAGAGACAGTCCTCAGCTTCCAAGCCTCTCAGCTAGCCCAGCTAAGGCCTCACAAACAGAAAGTACATGGCAGGGTTGCCTGGGAGGTCAGAGAGCCCTCCAGGCTGGACTTCCTTTCTCCAGAACAAGACAAGGCTGCTCTAGATCTCAGACTGTTTATACCATGAGCCCTGGTTCACACCAAGGGGTGCAGGAAACACTGCAAATCTTGTGCGTTTCCCACACTGCATTGCAATTGCATGACGTTCATGCGATCTGGTGCAGGTGTCAATGATAAATTAATGACACCCCAAAACAGATCGCAAAACGCAATGCAGTTGCCAGAAATTGCATTGCATGGGCGAGAACATCCATGTGATGGGATTCAGGTGCTGGTAGAAAAAGGGTCTTGCACCTTTTTGGTGTGGATGCGATGCAATTTGAGCCATAGAAAAAGGATGGCTCAAATCACACCGCACACACATTACATGTAATTTGCACAGGAACGCAGTGCGATTCCTGTGCGAATTACTTGCAGTGTCCCGCACCACATTAGTTTGGGTCCACACTGCCCACCAAGATTGGCTGGAACAGAAAAAATATTCATGCTGCCCATTTACATTACTCCACATGTTCCAGAATTGTGCATATAGCTCTGGAGATACAGAGAGAGAGTGTAATTAAATCTGCAGCCTATGAGACACAGCAAGACGAAAACCATGCAGCTGCACTGACTACAGTAAGCTAGAACTAAATTGGTCTATATACCCAAAGAACCCCCAGAGGGACTTTAATGCAGCAATAGGATCATACATGTATTGAAGGAGACATTTTGTTAAAAAAGACTTTTGTCAACTTTATTACATACAAATTTCCATTATAGTATTAAATACATAGTTTCTAAAAAGAATATTGCTCTGACAATATTGTTACAAGAGAACTCTTAATACAAGAATATGAAACCACTCAGAAAAGAGAAAAAATACCCCGACTGACAGAGGGGATTTTGATGCCCCTCTGTCAGTCCTTGTTGTCTGGTGACTTACATCTGACCACTCTTGTCCTCTTGGATGATGCACCCCACAGGAACATGGTGTCCAGCCTCCCATTTTGGAAGTCATCCCTTTTTTGCTCTGACATATGTTTTTGTAAGTGAAAAATGTTTTTCGTTATGTGATAAAATTATTTTTTTTGATTATTTATCCATTTATTTTTTTGATATACTCATTTATGATTGCTTATATTTTCACTAGAAAGCCCTTTGTCTCTCATGTCCCCTGAGGAAGATCTAGAATGTGAAATGATTGAAACGCGTCGGAGTGTTTTTTCTCTTTTCTGTTTAGTTTCATATTCTTGTATTAAGAGTTCTCTTGTAACAATATTGTCAGAGCAATATTCTTTTTAGAAATTATGTATTTAATACTATAATGGAAATTTGTATGTAATAAAGTTGACAAAAATCTTTTTTAACAAAATGTCTCCTTCAATATATGTATAATCCTATCGCTGCATTAAAGTCCCACTGGGGGTTCTTTGGGTATATGCATTCATATAGGGATGAGCAGCCAGATACGCTACCTTTTTTTGTTTTGTTTATGAATTGGTCGAACACAAAATTGCAGCCACGCTGATTGCAGTGAGACAAGACAAATTTACCTAACAACAAAATGCAGCTTCACTGGATACTGTGAGCCAGAACTAAATATATCTACTCCTAGAACCGATCTAGGAGGGTGCTACTTGTATTTGCTGCCACTTTAATGTCACTTCAAGCAGTGGTTCCACCTGATTGCAAAATCTGTATCTGTTTGGTTTATACTGTATAAATCCCAGATGAACATTGACTCACTGCATTGGAGGTTACCTAACTGATTTCATTTGCCTGGATTTGTGCTTTCATACATGCAAAAAGTCAAGCACACGTTTGCTAGTAAAATGCAAGGAGAAATTATCAGAAAATAATAATAATAATAATAATAATAATAATAATAATAAAATAAATACACACCTGTCATTTTAGTGTTCATTTTTGCCTTTGAAAATCTGCACTTAAAGGTGGGACAGCTGGGGACAGCTGTTGGGCAAAGGAGTTAGACAGAGCCTGGGTCCCACAAAGGAATTGTTGTGTAGTGATGTATGTCAAAGCAAATTACATTTTAAAGACAAAAATTACAAAATGGAAAAATTTATTTTTCAATTGTAGAGTTTTATGACAGACAAGCATTATTGTGCTTAGAGTCATTATTAATTCATATCCAAAATAGAAAGTTGATTATTATCAGATATTACAATGAAGGCCCATACAATGGGGTTGTGAATTCTGAACAGGCAGTTGGCTTGAGTGTGTAGCCTATAAATGGCACATTCCAAGTGTCAAAAATTCAGAAAAGATATCTTTTTCCATTTTAGACTAATGGCCTAATGAAAAGTGTACTTTACTTTTTACTTTTTCCAGTCCAGCAACTGTTGTCTTAAACGGTTTATAAACCTAAAAAGCAAATAGAAAAATGCACTTTGTATTAGCTCATTAGTCTAACATGGAAAAATATATCTTTTCTGTGTTTGTAAACCCAAAAGCTATACCATATCTCAGTATGTTTGACATCATGTCTCAATGTATAGAGTTTTCTTTAGCAAAGCCTTTATGTATGTATCTGTTGCAAAGTTTCTTACCTGAGATCCTGCCAGTGACAGCAGTTTTATTCTGACAATACTAAGCAGCTGCCTCACAACTAGTAGTAATGTTGTCATCATGCTATATGCACTCTATCAGGTATGCAGTACCTGTAATCAGTAATCAGTGCTACTTTTGCTATATAATCAATTAATGATGTTCTTTCCTGGTGTGTTTTTGCAGTCTATGTAAAAGTATTCAATGAGCCCTCAAACCAGATCTACCTTACTATTCTACTTGTACCAACTAGGGATAAGCTGCCAAATCGGTTAAAACCAAAATTTAGATCACATTTTGCTTGCTCGGAGGCTTAGAAAACAGCCAAACTAATTTGGTATACAGTCATGTTGAAACCTCCAGTGACAGCGAGTGGTGAAACACTTAACAGCTGTATTACTACCGCTGCTAAATGTGACAGCGTCTCCTCAGGCTAGTTGTTAGGACACTGTCAGCAGGCAGCTTCCTAACAACCATGTATCATCCCCTTTCAAACCAATCAGTTGTCACCTCGGTAATGCCGGCTGACAAGGGAATATAAACAAAGGGGTCGTGATTGTGTAAAAAATAAAAAAGGTAATTGGTGCCCCAATATTCACACCAGGCCCTTATGTCAAAGGGGTCTTCCAGATTCCCATAAGCCCTTTACATGCAGACTCCTACAATCAGCAGGGCTGTGGGAAAGAGGCCTTTGTCATCCACATGGTGCATGGTGCCTTCCCAGGTCCCCCCTTGGAAAAGTACATCCCCATGTGGGGATGTGGCCTGGTATGGTTCAGGAGGGGAGAGTGCACCCTCTTCCTAGCCTGCCAGGCTGCATGGCTATCAGATAAAGGTCTGGTATGGAGATTTTGGCAGGACCCCACACAGTTTTATTTTTACATGGGGTGCTGCTTGACATCCATACTAGACCCTGTTCAAGGATAAAGGTCTGGTATGTATTTTTAGGGGGAAACCCATGCTTTTTTTTCTCTGTGGGGGGTCCCTCCAATAACATGTACTGTATACCAGTGGCATAGATGAAGGCAATCCTCAACTCCCTTGTTTACAAACAGAACAAAATGGATGGGAGTTGTTATTTACCAACAATTTAAATGTCATTCTTCTTTGTGAATTTCGGTTTTCCTGTAGGTTATATACAGTATACAAATGCACCACATCACAGGTAGGGTGTCCCTAAGACATAATATGTAAAGGAATTTTGCATTTTAATGATTAGCTTTAAGCATTATTAAAATCACTGCTCCCTACCAAACAGATTTTATTTGCTTTTTTTTCCCACAGGGCAGTGCCCAGCCCCCATGCCATTTGTTTGCCAATCCTTTGCCTATTATCCTAGAAAATGGCCACAGTGGGGTTTGTATTCAGCACCCTAATTTTAGTAATATTCACAAACCTGCCTTGAACTGAACCCAGATATGTTCTCCTTATTCCTAATTACAGCACTCTTACTTAATTCTAGTCCTGAACTGTGCAAGTTTCTTAAAGCAGGGTATATATGAAAAGTTTTTTTTTCTTTCAACCAGTGGTTGAACAAAAAAAAACCTGACAGACTCCCCCCTGCTGCAACTTTGTATTCTGACAGATGACAACTTTCTACAGCTGCATCTCTGGGATTGGAAGCTTCTCCACTGGGAAAGGAAAATTCTTACTGACAGTGGGGTTAACCCTTATTTTCTCTATACAAAGCTTTAAAAAAGAAATGGTTTTGGCTATGCATACATTTTAACCTTAATCCCTAAAGTAACCCCAACTTTGAGCAAATTTGCCTCACCCTTAGAATCCCAAATGAATTGGTGCAATATCTAACAGTACCACAGTGAACAATACCTTTGCCTGGTGTTTGATGCACTACTAGTTTAATCATGTTTTCTTGTCCTAAAAGGTTTGTCCTTCTTACACCAAGTACATATTTAATGTACCAGAAGAGGAGCTTAGGCTCTAAGCAAATGTATTTTCAGGCATTGGCACCCTCCTGCAGTAAGGGGAAGGATTTTCTACCTGGCAGACTCCCCATCCCTTCCTAATTTCGATCTCTTAAGCCTAGTACACAGGGTCCAAATGTTGGGTGGCATTGGGCGTTTCAGTAAAAACTGGCCAACATTCGGCCGGCTTTTACTGAAGATTTGCCAATTGGCATCCGATCAGTGCTCTCAGTCAATGGCTGAGAGTGCTGACTGGTGTGTTCTGGCTGTGGGCCTTTCCCCTTTCAGAACGCAATAGCTCAGCAGGTGGAGATCACTGTACTGCCATGGGATTGTTAGTACAGTGGCTCATCCTGTGCTCTGCAGTTTTTTTTTCATTCAGCCCACTGGGTTGAACACAAAAAAAATTGCTAGTGTGTACCAGGCTTAACTCTCTTTTCTCATAAGGGCACTAGCCCCACCCTTTTTTTTCCATAATACATTTTTATTTGGTTTTACAAATATAGTTACAACAACAAAGAAAAACAAAAATAGTACAGTGAAAAGCTGCACAATATCACAGTATAGGCGTTCCAGTAAAGTTTAACAAAGAGAAAAAAGGAAACTATTGAATAATTCCTAACAGTCCTACTAGTTTCACAAAATAATCATTTTAGAGTATCCAAAAAAAGGTTAAACATGATAATATAGCCCCACTCTTAATACCCAGTGCATGCGACCTCTTAAAAACAACTTTTACATGTCATTACTGGGGTTGGGCTTACTCCTGTAATTTAATTTACATAAGGTGCCATTACCAACAAGAATGGTATTGTTACTGACATGCAATTTGTTGTATTTTGCAGAATACTTACTTATAATTTATGTATATTATCTGCTTATGATGTGTTTACACTGTATCCATGATTCTGTATCTAGAGTCTGACAAAATGATACTCTGTATTATTGTAAACTGTAATTGTTTTGCTTGGTCCCATTCATGTTGTGCGCTGCCTGATTTTAATGAATAATAAAAAAATATTTAATTTAAAAGAGTGCTAATTAATTCCACCTTGGGAAATTCTGAAAGAAATGACCAAAAATATTATATTATTTATTATTGTTATTATTATTATTACTATTATTATAATATTTACTGAGAGGCTGAACCTTGATGCTATAAATGGCATTTTATTAGTGATCTTTCTCCTGAATAGCATGTTTGTAGATAGTGTTTATAGACTACGTATAATATCAGACATAACTTTCCTGTCGTCCCAAGTATTAATTGTAGTCATATGCTGTGTTTCCACACAGATCTTAATGTCTGAACCAGGGAAGCTGTTACAGAAGTTTAAGGTTTGGTTGCAGGAATACTGGAATGTGACAGATCTCATCTCCATCCTTCTCTTCTCTATTGGAATGGTGTTTCGCTTACAAGAGCAACCTTACAGCAGCTACGGGAGAGTGATATACTGTGTAAACATCATCTACTGGTACATACGCTTGCTTGATATTTTTGGTGTCAACAAGTATCTTGGTCCATATGTTATGATGATTGGCAAAATGGTAAGTCAACAATAATGCATAATATCAATGCGATCACTCAACCTGTGCTAAAAAACTATTTGGAAAATAAAAAACATGTTCCTGTGTTTGCTTGCATGATTGACTCACTGCTTTTCCCAAAAGTATACAGGCGTACCTCAGTTTACAAACGCCTCAGTTAATGTAATTTTCGGTTTTTACGAATGAAAAATCCATTGAAAATAATGCCTCGGTTTGCTAATTTGTTTCGCAATACGAAGCAAGTTTCCCCAGGATGCATTGCACCTGGGAGGTTTATAGCGCCAGCCCAGTGCCTTTAAAGTGCACTTTACAAAGAGTTTTGAACAGATAAGACTTTCTTTTTTACTTTTTTTCTGACCTCTGGAACAAATTAATTGGTTTTCAATGCATTTACAAATTTTTTTTTGCAATACGAAGCAAGTTTCTCCAGGATGAATTGCACCTGGGAGGTTTATAGTGCCAGCCCCATGCATGATGGAGTCTGTGGGTAGCACATGGCATCGAGTGTGGAGGTGTTGGAGCGGTTTTTGCATCGAGTTTTGGAGCCATTTTGGAAATTTTTAATCATGTCCCTGTACAGTATTTATGCATTTAAAGTGCACTTGAAAGAGTTTTGAATAGATAAAAGACTTTTTTTTTACTTTTTTCTTACCTCTGGAACAGATTAATCGGTTTTCAATGCATTCCTATGGGAAACTGCATTTCAGTTTATAAATTTTTCGCAATACGAAACATCCTGGAAAATGCATTAAATTTGTAAACCGAGGCACGCCTGTATATATGTCAAAATGGAGACATAAAGTAATAAGTATTTAATTTATCTGGGACATTCTGGCTATTATGGGATGTAAATTATGCTCCTTTTCATATCACAACACCATGATCTTCAGGTGATGACAAGGGCAGACCTTACCATTCCTACAGACTTTCTTTTTTCTAGAAAGGACTCACTGAGGCAAGAATCGGTTTCTTCAGAACAGGGAAAGGTTCTACTTTGAAACTATATTTGTTAAAAACTTTGCAATATATACAGTTTACTGGGATAGAATTGTTGTTAAAGGGTAACATCACAAATGTGCTAAAACTGGAATTGTACAACATAGCAGTAACAAAAATTACATTTCCAAAAATATGTACAGCCTGTCTTAGTTCATTATGTCTTAGGATGCTTTTATAGGGCCTGTTGTGTAAACATTGCAATGTTTAGCATTTTTTAGAACTGTATACACAATTGTCTAATCAATAGATGCACTACCACACATTCTGCCATTTCCTTGCTGCCATATCTAAAAGTTGAATGTTTCCTATTAGACATCATAGATATTCCAAGCACTCATTAAAACAGAAATTACCTAGATAACAATTACTACTAGTAAAGGTGACTGTTTTACTGCTCACCATATTAATTTTTTTGAACAATAAGACTGTGTTTTAACTAGCTATTTCACCAATTCTGTACCTTTTTATATATAAACAACATTTATATAGTAGTTTTGTTTGGCTAGCGGTACTCCAAACTCTAGTCTAAATGTCTAGTCTAAATGTCCAGGCCATCTTTAATATCCTGACTGCTGATTTGATAAGCTTTTGAGCAGGATAATATTTTTCCTCCCAGGTGGACCTGAGGCTTATCTCACCCAACAGTAAAGTAAACTTGTCCCTCTGCTTGTGGGGGATAACACCAATCCATGGAATCTGAATACACCCAAGAAATGCTTTATAACACAGCATGATGGTATCAATCTTGCCGATTGTTTTTCAACTGGGGTTCTGCGAGAGGTCCCCAGGGGTTCAGCAGCAATCTTCCTGACAGTCACAAGCAGGTGATGGGCAAATTGCATCCCTTATGTTGACACATGCCCAGCTACACAGGCAAGCGGCTCTGCTTGTGTAGCTGTGCAGCACTGCTCCCCACTGGCCCCTCCTCCCCTCCTGTCCATCCCGAGTGCTTGTATGTGACATCACCTGGGATGGATAGGAAGGGAGACTTGGAGGAGTGGCTAGCAGGGAACACCATGGCAGAAGAGAACTCATCACAGCTACGTCCCTGCTTAGCTCTGCAAATGAAGGAGACCACTGTCCTGCCATTTGCCCTGATCTCGTGTAAGGTGCCCTGGTTCCATGTGCTGTGATCCCATGTGCTGTGATGCCATGTGCCCTGATCTCATGTGCTCTGATCAAATATGCTCTGAATCCATGAATCCTGATCCCATGTAAGGTGCTCTGATACTATGTAAGGTGCCCTGATCCCATGTACAGTACCCTGATTCCTTGTAATGTGCTCTGATCCCATGTAAGGTGTTCTGATGCCAGGTATCTGATACCAGGTAAGGTTCCCCAATCCCATGTAAGGTGCCCTGATTCCATTTAAGGTACCCTGATCCCTTGTAAGGTGCTCTGATCCCAGGTAAGGTGTTCTGATGCCGGGTATCTGATACCAGGTAAGGTTCCCCGATCCCATGTAAGGTGCCCTGATTCCATTTACGGTACCCTGATCCCTTGTAACGTGCTCTGATCCCAGGTAAGGTGCCCTGATTCCATTTACGGTACCCTGATCCCTTGTAAGGTGCTCTGATCCATGGTAAGGTCCCCTGATTCCATTTACGGTACCCTGATCCCTTGTAAGGTGCTCTGATCTCATATGCCCTGATCCCACAAACGGTACCCTGATCCCATGTAAGGTTCTGTGGTCCCATGTGCCCTGATCCTATGTAAGGTGCTCTGATTCATTGTGCCCTGATCCCATGTACAGTACTCTGATTCCATGTAAGGTGCCCTGATCCTATGTAAGGTGCTCTGATCCCATAAAAGGTGTTCTGATCCCATGTGCCATGATCCCATGTAAGGAGCTCTGATCCTATGTGCCATGATCCCATTTAAGGTGCTTTGATCCCATGTGCCCTGATCCCATGTAAGGTGCCCTGATCCTATGTAAGTCGCTCTGATCCCATGTAGGGAGCAAGAGAAAAGAAAAACAAGGGAACCACTCCCCTAGCAGAAAAACTTCTTTAATTGAGGACAAATATAATAGAATCCAAGGCACTTACATGTTCCCAATGTCACAATAAGCTTTCTGTCTCTGCCATTCTGGTCCATCCATCCCTGTTGGCTGAACCAGAGTTTGCACACAGGAGAAGAAAAGAAGGACAAGCAGAAGCTGCTGATAGTTGTGTCGATAGCCAGTAGCAGTAAAACTACCGGCGCCTGTGAGTCCCGGACCGACAAGGCACACAGGTGAACACAGTGTGAGCAGGCTGGGGGAAGGTGAGCCCGGGCTGGCAGTAGGGTTGACGTGACACTGTCTCTGGTCTTGGAAGGAACAGTTAACCCTTCTCTATCTAATTACTCCCCCATGGTGCTGAAGGGAGTGTTTTTTCCACTGAGAGCTATCCACAGGGTTAAAAGCCACTAATTATGAAGCAACAACTTGATTATGACAACATTAAAAAAACAAAATAAGATACAATAATGAAATGCTATAAAATAAGCCCTATAGCATTCAATTATTGTATCCTATTTTGACAGAGCGCATATTGACCTGTAGTATTATTTATAGGTCAACTTGTGAAGGTAAGCATGCATGCCTGGTGGTGGTGGTGGACACAGTGGTGTAACAAGTGGAAGATCTACAATTAAGTTATATTTCTGAATGTTGTTGGATACGTTTTGGGACTTGTTTATATGATCACATTGGACTTTCACTATCACTGTCTACTCCTTAGCGTTTCAGCAACCTTTGGGCTTGGGGTTGGAGAAGTAGCCGGGTATATTTTTATATTCAACTTATGTTTCTTAAAGCACATCATTTATATCACTTAAGATTGGTGGTTATTAGAAACTATATGTAATCCAATTATTTTTATTTGTGGTTATTTTGTTTTATACGGCTTGTACTAGTTGATCGGTTGGATGTCTATTGATTTATCGGGTTTCACGTAATTTGTGAACTTTGTGATATTAGCACTTTTAGTTATGTATTAGCGAGACATTCTCAACGTGTTATATGCACTACTATATGTGTGTTATTTTTATTACTTAGTTATGTGTTAGAGGGTCAGCAGGGTATTTATTTACCAATTATTAAGTGAATTAGTTGCCTTTTTATAAGATACATGTATTATTTAAATATTTATTTTTTCATTTGTTTGATTGGCCCACTAGCAATTGTTGGTTTATGTGTTAGACCCTCTGGTGGATGTTTTTATCTTATCTATTGTTTTATATCTTGTATTTGTTATTGATTTGTGTGGGAACACTTTTGGGAGCTTGCAGTTGCAGTATTGTTTTATTATTATTTTTGGCAGTGCATAAGATACCTTTTATCTACTGTCAAACATTATCTATCCTTTTTCCTAATCTTTTTCCTTTTTCTCTTTCTGTATCCTCACTTGTGCAGATGATTGACATGATGTACTTTGTGATCATTATGTTAGTGGTGCTAATGAGTTTTGGTGTGGCAAGGCAAGCCATCCTCTTTCCCAGTGAGGAGCCCTCATGGAAATTGGCAAAGAACATTTTTTACATGCCCTACTGGATGATCTATGGTGAAGTGTTTGCTGACCAGATAGACCGTAAGCATGTTTTTTATGATTCTTTAACTACCTATTCAGTATTCACCGATTTACAGCTGTAGAAACAAAGAATTCTTTTTTGTCATGGTCCAAATAGAAAAAATCTTTCTCTATGATGTGGGTACATTAATGGAAGGCCCATTTTTATCTTCTTAAACAAAGTGAGTAAGAATGTTTGAAAAGGTATTGCAAAAGCATTCATCAGTCCTGGGCAATATATGTCATGAACAAATATTTGGCCATGGAAATCAAACTCTTTCACCAAACACATGTAATAACGCTACCAAAGGCCAAAGATGGATTTTTTTTTCTTATGATCAGCCTGCTAATCAAAACTAATGATTGAATTCCTCCATCCACACATTTGAGGTAGACAAAAGAATCCCCTTGCTGTGCTATTGTATTCTGACAGCAGGGACTTCTCTGCTGTTAGACTGCAATGAGCTGTGCTGGAGCTAATTGTCTGCAGCGCTGATCTAAGGAAAATTTTCAAAAATTCCCATTCCAGAGAAGCCAACCATTAGACTGACTTCTCTTGAACAGGAACAGTCAAAGATGAAACAAAATTCAGCTCACATATACTGAACCGGCTCATTTTTGATCCATCTATGGCCAGCGAAACTTTTGTTTGGTAATCATGGAATAAGCACCACTTACATCACCAATCACAAGCCAGAAGTGTTGTATCCTGACCCTATACTGCAATAGTTTACTTCAGCAGCATGTTTTCCCAATATCTTAGTGTTTGCTGTGTCTTCTGATTTTCATGGGCTGCTCCTCATGGAAATCCAAAGGGAAAGCTCACAGTTTCCATGGCAAAAAAAAGCTACAGCACCTGTAAAATCCAATAGGTACCCGAAGGTATCTGAGGCCCCCCATTTGGTCCGTGATTTAATTCAGATCCAAAGAACACTATTGTATTGCTGAATATAGCAACAGTCAAGACTGTAAAATGTGATTTTTTTGGGGGGGATTGGTGCTAAAGTGTTTCCAAACAGTTTCTTAGTCCAATTGAGACAGCTTTGTCTTTTATTTAGTTGTGTGCTGGGGATCCTATACAAGTGAAGCGGAAAGTCAGCTGTTGTGCATACACAAAATGAAATACTGTTGAAGGTGTCTGTAATTATGAGAAAATTCCAGTGAAATGCAGCTGTAATGAATCAGGAATAAATCACCCTAGCAGTGGTTTACTGTTGTAGGATCATACTGGTTAGAGCTGCAATAGCTCTGCCCAAGCCTCCTACTGAGTGTAAGCACCAGCTCTCATGACCATACCAATTTAAATACTATGCAGAAACCCATTCATGCAATTCCTAAGCATATAAATGAGATAATATCGAAAAAGATGTAAACACACATTAAGCTCAGTTCACAAAGCATGAACATAAAGATAAGGCTCTTTTTCTTCAGCCATATGAGTGGGTGTTTCAAATTTCATTGGACGTAGCTGTAAATAGCAGTGTTTTTTTTAACCTCTTCTGCGATGCCCTACAGCAGAAATACTGCTACAGAGCGGCACGAGTGCGCACATTCACGCATATATACATGATTTTGCAGTTCTGGGTAGGGGGCACACACAGCCTCAGCTGTCAATCACCGGGTCTCAGATGGTGATTGCTCACCGGAACCCGGTGATCGCTGAGTATTACCGATGGGGGAGAGACCTGTGTATAAACAACACAGATCTCTCCCCTGTCAGCTCCTGCACACTGCTTTGTATGGCTCTGCATAGCATAGCATAGCAGAGCCATACAAAGCAGTGTGCTTGCAGTGTAAAGCACATACACAGCACACAGATAACCCTTTGAGCACCCCACATGTTAACCCCTTCCTGCCCAGTGCCATTAGTACAGTGGCAGTGCTTTTTATTAGCACTGATCACTGTATTGGTGTCACTGGGGATGTCAGTGACACCAAGTCAGTTCCCCCCAGTGTCAGAATGCCCGCCGCAGTCCCACCGCAGTCTCGCTACAAGTTGATGATCGCTGCAATTACTAGTAAAAAAAAAAAAAATTCCAATATATATACCGCCATTTGTAAATGCTATAACTTTCACGTAAACCAATTAATTTACACGTATTGGGATTTTTTTTTAGCAGAATACATTTTGGCCTAAATTTGTGATGAAATTAGATTTTTTAATTTTTTTTACTGGACATAGCATAGTCAACAATATAGTTTTTTTCTCAAAATTGTCAGTCTTTTTTTGTTTATAGCGCAAAAAATAAAAAACGCACAGGTGATCAATTACCACCAAAAGAAAGCTCGATTTGTGGGGAAAAAAAGGATGTAAATTTTATTTGGGAGCAGCATTGCATGACCACATAATTGTCAGTTAAAGTAACGCAGCACCGTAATGCAAAAAATGGTCTGGTCAGGAATGGGGGGTAAATCCTCTGGAGGGCAAGTGGTTAATAAAAATAAGGATTCCTATAATGATGTGTTAAGTTTGTGAAATGCACCTCTTGGAGAAGGGATTACATTTTTAAAAAACAATGTAAGCAAATATGACTTCAGAACTCATTTGAAGAGTTTAACAGGAACAATTGAATTCATTTGAAATAGAAGTCACTAATACTATACATCTTTTGCTTTAAACACTCATGTCAGGACAAGGACTGTAATACAAGGAGGCAAAAAAACTGTAAGAAATTATTTATTGAAAAATGGATTGCAAGTTCATTAAAGTGGGTGTAAAGCTAGAAGGTTTTTGACCTTAATGCATTCTATGCAATAAGGTCAAAAACCTTCCATGGTCTGCTCTCTTCCCAGCCCCACTTATTCTTACCTAAGCCCAATCTTGATTCAGCGATGTACACAAGATCAGTGGCTCTCTCAACTCTTTCTCTCCTCACTGGATCAGAGCAATTGGCTTCTCTACTGTCAATTACAGCCAATGAGGAGAGGCAGGGGGGCAGGCCGAGCTGTGTTCTGTGTGTCAATGGAGACACAGAGCGGTGCTCGGGAGCAAGTATGCAAGAGTGTCCCCAGAGTAAGCGTCTTGCTATGGGGTCACTAAGCAGTGAAAAGGAGCCAGGAGTGCCAGCAGGGGACCCAAGCTGAGGAGGATCAAGGTGCAAAGATAAGTATGACATGTTTGTTATTTTTAAATAAAAAATAATAATTTTTAAATAAAATAAATCAAAAATGTAGGTTTACAATAACTTTAGGTAGTAGATGTGTATGGATTGTTTGTGAAAAATTGGGATATTGTTTCATGTCACTTTCTTTATTACACTGTTCATTATCCAATGCAGGTCAAATAATTGCAACAAATATGACACAATTGTAAAACACATACATCTTTTGACTGTTTGGTACATCAGTTCAGAATCTTATACAGCACCTTTTGTAATACCGTCTGCTGTGGTGACATGTCTGGTATTCAGTACAGCCTAACAAAGTGCCTCATGGACAGCAATACAAGAGGGTTCTCAGGTGAGAACATACTTTAGGTCAGGCTTTTAGGCACATGGCCTTTGTAATTTACACAAATTAACTATGATGAGGTGCAGGAAATGCACTGCTATTTACATTAGTTACCATCTGGACCTACATGGCTTAGGTGGGTAGGTGTAATGTGTTTGTTGGACTATCTTCTCCCCATTCACTGTTTTTACATATGTGATGTTATAATAGTCATGGCCAAAAAATGTATTAAAAAAAAAGAATGGTAAAATTACTGTGAATTATTCGCACAAAAATCCCTGTAACTGCACTTCTGATAATACCCCATTTTTCTTCTGATACCTATACTGCTTTTTTCTATTTCCATATGTTAATTCATGCAAAATATGCAGAAATGGAGTAAAATGTCTTATGAAAACTCATCATCAGCTATGCAGACATACCACTTCACATGATTAAAGTTATAGTGCCAGTTAAACCCCAATTGTGTCCAAGAGCACCAAATATAAAAGGATTCCTATAGAGTTATTTATGACAGCTATAAAATTATATTGATTGTAATCTCATCTTCAGTTGAGCCTTTTATATACATTCAATAAGACCTCAGATATCTAAAACACGTCATTGATTTTTTTTCTGTTTCTTGTTTTAGTAAGAAATCCAAGATCTCTCTGTTAAATGCTTCCAGCTCAGGATTTAGGTGTGTTATGTCATATAGTAGAACAAACCCTTACCACTAATCTGCTAGTGAAATCTTCTCAAAGGACATTATTAAACATGTGACAGAGGACATAACTCCTTCCCGTTGTAATAATAAATAATTGAGATGAACACAGGTTCACTTCACCCCACTTCCAGGTATATCGAATCAATTTGTAACCTCACTTCACCTCCTCTTATATCACTTTACACATCAGTAAATCATTTTTTTTTTTTACAGTAATAGTCTATGAGGGAAGAGAATGCTATAGGGAATCTGAAATACCCTGTTATTATTTTGACTGATTAGCCCCACAATCCAGAATTTTACAACAGGGATGAATTAATACAGTCCACATTCACAGAATCGACACCAATTGCTCTATTGTCATAAACATGTATCCATTCTAGCTACTTTTTAAAATACAGTAAAAAAAATAAAATAAGATTTTTTTATGTTGAAGAATGAATATTTTGAGATTTATGTTGTATCTAGAAAAGTCAAAACTTAGGAAGATTTCGTGAAATCTCAACTTTATGTGCGCCTTAACTTATCAGGCATGATTTTGTAACAGCATATAGTTTTACATCCCCTTTGTAGCAACCAGGCTAATTTTCCATTTGTTTGGACTGAAACATACTGTATTCATATGAGCTAATTTAATAACAAGTAAGATTATGCAAAGTCATACCAAGCAATATTATTTCAGTGTCAGATAATAAAAATGATGAGATCTGCTTGCCGCAGCCTACTGCAATTTGTACAACATGATTACCTTGTATTCCTATGTAAATGAGTCTGATAAAATGTAATTAAAACCACAATCCTCATGTATGTTTATGTTCAAGAGATTACAAACAGCAAAGCTGCACTAAATATTACACAGCTACAT